CATCGCTATCAGAGGGCAGGGGCGCCCCCAGCGCCGCCGCGCCGGCAGCGGGCTTCAGCATCTGCGCAGGATGCAGGCAGGGGAGGGAGCGTTACTGTTCCGGTCAGGCATGTGCAGGAGAACCGAAGGCGGCAGGCTGGCGGCGCGGCAGCACCGGGCAAGCACTTGGCGGGCGCAGCAGCAGCGTTGGGTGGGCGCAGGCGGTGCCATGAGCGGCCCCGCGCGCAGCTGGCCGGCTGCGCAGGTGTCATTCGCTGGCTGCGGGCGCACGTGCGCCCGCACCTTGAGCAGCTCTGCCAGCGTCGCCTGCTGGCTCTCCATCTTGCGCTGCAGGTCGGTCAGCCCCAGGGACTGTCCCATCAGCACCTGGCTGGCCAACCTCTGAAGGTCCTGGTGCTGCGGGGACCTGCGGGAGGGCGGGAGGGCAGCGCCGGGGCGGCCGGCAGGCGCGGTGGGGCGGCAGGCGGCGGCGGGCGGCCCGCAGGCGGCGGCGGCAGGTGGAGGGTCGGGGGCACGGCTGCGGATGGCTGGATGCAGGTGCTGGCTGCACAGGTGCCAAAGGTGGAGCTTCTGGGTGTTCTTGTCTGGCAGTGGAGCGCAAGGCAGGGCCTTTGCCTGCCATGAGCGGGAAGGCGGCATTGGCAGGCACAGCCCGCCTCGCCACACGCAAGCGGTGCACAGCAGAGTGCCGCCCCCCCGGCGGGCAGCCTTCCCACGCACCTGCCGCGCAGCAGGTCCCGCAGAATGGAGTTGCACTCTGCCGCAATCTTGCTCGTCTGCGACAGGCAGTCTGCTAGTTGGCCGCGGTCCAGCGGCGGGCCTCCTGCGGTGGCGGCGGCGGTCGCGGCGTCGCTGGCTTGGGCCTTCTTGCGCCGGCCCATGGGCAAGCCCCGGCCGCCTCCGACACCCCTCTTTCTGGGGGTGCGTGAGCTTTAGGCACAGGGTTCCTGCTGGTTCGCTGGCATCGTGGCTTGGGTAGGGTGAGGCCTACAGGCACCGCTGAGGCCCACAGTATGCGCACCACAGCTGCCCAGGACTGGTGCAACACGCAGGTCGGCTGTCGGGTGCCCAGACAGGCCTCAATTGGGGGCGGGTTGGCGGGCTGGAAAGCTGGTGGCAAGCAGGCGAAATGCCGGTTGTTTCATTGCGATTGCTGCTTTCTGGTGCCATCGGAGGATCTGGGTGCAGCCGGCCTCCCTGCAGCCCATGCCTGCCATGCTCGCCACCAAGGCAGTGGGCCAGGCAGTGGCACATTGCCCCCGGCTCTCCACTTGCAGCGGCAGCAGGTCCAACCGGTTTAGAGTGCAGCCGCTGCGCCACGGCCCCCCTCAGCTGCAAGCCCCACGGTCTTCAGCCCCACGCTGCCGGCCCGCATCGGTGCGTACTGCAGCCATGGCGGCGAGCACAGAGACCAAGAGTGTCTCGGGCACCATGGCGGAGCTGAAGAAGCAGGGCAAGTGAGTCGCCGGCCGCCGCAGCGCCACCTCCCGCTCGACCGCTCCTCAACCTGAGGGGTGCAGCGCACAGCTGGGGCTGTTCCATCGGGAAGCAAAAGGGGCAGCAGGGACAGGAGCCGGCACGGCATCAGGGGCGGCCGTGCAGCAGTCCAGCATGCCGCGCGCTGCCCTTGCTTGCCGCCATCGCAGGGTGGCGTTCATCCCCTTCCTCGTGGCTTGCGACCCGGATGCGGCCACCACCGTCAAGGCGCTGCAGAAGCTAGACGAGGTGGGTATCACCTCGTCGTGCTCCGGGGCAGGGGGGTGGAGGCAGCCGAGCAGGGGCCCTGCCCGCACTTGCACCCATCTGCGTGGCGCCTTTCGGCCTCCACGCTCCATCCCAACCACCTGCCCGCCGCGTGAGCACTGCACCGCCGAGACGCCCGCATGCGCCGGAACGCCGGGCCCACCCCTGCTGCTTACCCTGGCCCCGCGCCCCCTGCCCTCTTGTGCAGCTGGGCGCCGACGTGATTGAGATGGGCTTCCCTTACTCCGACCCACTGGCTGACGGTCCCACCATCCAGGCCGCCGCCACCCGCGCGCTGCAAAAGGGCACGACCATGGACAAGGCGAGGGCGGCGCCGCCGCGGCTGGGGCTGCCCCGGGATGCTCTCCCCTCGCATCCCGCATCCTCTGCCTGCCGATCGGGGCCGCTGCTAACCCCGCTGCCACCTTCCCCCCCACCCCACCGCCGCCACCACCACAATCACCAGCTACTCTCACCACCCCACCCCACCCCACCATCCCGCCCATTGTCCCCTGGAAAATGCAGGTGCTGGATGTGGTGCGGCAGGCCAGCGCCACCATCCGGGCACCCATCGTCATGTTCACTTACTACAATCCCATCATGGCCCGCGGCCTGGACAAGTTCTGCCGCCAGGCCAAGGAGGCCGGCGCGTCGGGTGTGTGTGGTTGGGGGCGGGCCGCGGTGCTGGCAGGCAGGCGCGGGCGGCGGGACGGCTCGGCGCCTGCTCCCCTGCCCAGCCGTGCGCACATGGCTCAGCGAGAGGGCAGCCAAGCAGCGCAGCCCAGCATTCGTTTGCCTGCGCCCCTGCTGCCATCCCCCTGCACGCCGCAACCTGCTGCCGCCGCCCACCTCTGCCCACCTGCCTGCCTGCCTGCCTGCCTGCCTGTGCCCGCAGGCCTGCTGGTGCCTGACATCCCTCTGGAGGAGACGCCCGAGATCCGTGCCGTGGCCTCCCAGCACGGCCTGGAGCTGGTGCTGCTGACCACGCCCACCACGCCGCAGCCACGCATGCGCGCCATCGCCGAGAGCTCTCAGGGCTTTGTCTACCTGGTGTCGCTCACCGGTGCGGTGTGGTGTTGAGTGGTGTTTTTGGCGGCGTTGAGCGGGGTCTTCACAACCGTTTGTTTGTAAAGAGAGGCTGTGTGTGTGTGGGGGGGGGGTGGCTGGGCAGGCATGTCCTGCCGCCACCAGCCCACCAGCCCCCGCCGGCGTGTGCGCCTGCGCCACCTGCCGCAGGCGTGACGGGCATGCGCGGCAGCATGGAGTCGCGGGTGGAGGGCCTCATCAAGCAGCTGCAGTCGGTGACGGACAAGTCGGTCTGCGTGGGCTTTGGCGTGTCAGGGCCGGAGCAGGTGGGGGCGCCCCGCCTGGCTGCCTGTCACCCGCATGCATGCATGCATGCATGCTGTGCGTTAGTGGTAACCCGCGTAGCATGCCTGCCAGCACCCCCGACCCGCGGTTTGCTGCGACGCTGCCCACCCGGCCCGCAGGCACAGCAGATCAAGGCGTGGGGCGCGGAGGGCGTCATCTGCGGCAGCGCGCTGGTCAAGGCGCTCGGCGAGTCTGGCTCGCCAGGTGGGCGGCTGGCTGAGGCGGCTGGCTGGGTGGAGGTCAGCCAAAGTTTCTGGTATGCTCAAGGTCTGCCTGCTGCTGTCGCACTGTCCTCTCTGCCGAGAGTGAATGGCTGATGTGGCTGCTGCCCCCTTCCCCGTACACACCGCAGACGAGGGATTGAAGCGGATGGCCGAGCTTGCCAGCAGCCTGCGTGCGGTCATCTGAGCCGCCCTGCCATTTCATTCTGCCCGGCCAGCCTTTGATGTAACCTCCCCAGCCAGGGAGGCCAAGCCAGTGTTCCCAGGGCTGCCACACCCTGGGACCTGGGACAGCGAGCTCGCAGCATGAAGCGCCGCCACGCCGGCATTGTCCAACGGAATGCTGCGGCGTGGGTAGTCTTACAGGCAAACGGTAGTGCAGCGTGGCATGTGGCCGCATGGCATCATACAAGTATCTGCGAGTGCTTTTTCAAACATGGGGAGAGGCAGGCGTAGCTAGCCAGTTGGCTGCTGGCTGGCTGGCCGTCTTCAGCCGCCGCCCGCTGCAGCAAAGAATGAGCCTATCGTGCGCTGCCCGCCCCCTTCCGACGCCTCCTTTACGCCTTTCTGCTGCTGCTGCTTCTGCTGCTGTTTGCCACGCGCCTTGCCGCGCCCAGCAGCAGGCTTGCCGCTTTGTTGCTTTCCTGCCGCCTCGCCGCTGCGGCTGCCTGGCTTGGCCTCTCCCGCGCTTGCTGCGCCACCGCCCTGCTCGCCTGCATCTTGCCCGCTGCCATCTTCCCCTGCGGGGCCTGGCGGTGCTGCATCCCCCTCTGCTGCCGGCGCCGGCGCCTCGCTTCCATCATGCCGCTGCTTCTTGCGATGCCCCGCATCCTGATCCGCACCATCGCCGCCTGCCTCCGCACCCTTGCTCCCTGCTCCTGGCCCTGCTGCTGCCGATTCCGGCGCAGGTGCCGCCGCTGCTGCCGAGCCTGGCACCGCTGGTGCCGCAGGCGCTGCCGCCGCCCGCTTCTTGCCGGCGGCGCCAAACATGCCCAGTATGCTCCGCTGGCTGGTGTCCACAAAGCGGCGGTGCAGGCGCTGCCACTCCTGGCAGGGCGGGTGCGGCGGCAGCGGGGGCACGTCCCGCAGCTTGAGCAGCATGCCTGGGGCAGGGGGCGGGCAGTAGCGGCCAGAGTGGCAGGGAGCGCAGGGTCGGCTGCGGCAAGCCAGAGGGTGGCGGCGGGAGCGGCAGCCTGCCAGCAGTGCCACGCCAGCAGCCGCGGGCGGCGGCGCCACCCGCCTGCATGGTCGCTCCACTTGGGGGGCAGCACCTCGGGGCCCAGGATCTCGCAGGAAACAACCCTGCCCAGCAGGCCCGGCGTGCACAGCACGTAGTCTATGCGCAGGCCCTGCAGGCGGGCAGGCGGCAGGCAGCAGGAGCAGCAGCTTCTCCTGGCGGCAGGGGCGGGCCCAGGCGGCGGGAGAGCGCGAAGGCCGGCTGCCGAAACCCGCGTCGCGCGCCCGTGGGGTCAATCAAACTAGGGCCCGGGCAGCAGACGGCCAGGCCCGGCCGCAGGGTCCAGCGCAGAAGGAAGGCGCACCCTGTTGAAGGCTCGGGCGCTGGTCTTCTCATTCCACACAGAGTAGGTGGCGGCCTCCTGGGGGTGCAGCCGCCGCCACACGTCTGCAGGGGGGCACAGGTGCGAGCCCAGCAGGCTGAAGGGGGGCCCTGTGGGAGCAGTCGGCCCGCAGAGGCAGGCGCCAGCCGGGGGCAGGCCCATGCAAGCTCTGCCACGCCGCACGATTCACCCGCTCTGCCTGGGCTGGCTGGGGCCAGGCCAGCACCCGCGCCCCACCTGGGTAGGCGGCTGTGAGGGCGTGCAGCGCGGCGCGCTCCTCCTGCCCATACAGCTCATCCAGGGAGCCTCCCGGCAGCAGGTCCGGGTGCACATCCCGCGCCTCCGCTGGAACGTTAAAGTCTCCCACAAGCAGCAGCTGCAGGGCAAAAAGGGGTGGGCGGGGCGGGGCATGGCGGGGCGGGGCGGGGCGGGAAGCTATTTGGGCGCGAGATGAGCAGGCCCCAGGTGGCGCTGGGTGTGCAGCAGGGCGGCCAGCCCTCGAGCCGAGCCACGATGCGGCAGCCGCAGCAGGCGCGCCGCACACCTCGCGCCCCGCCACCGCCAGCTCCTCGCACTTGCGCCTGAGCGCGGCCAGGAAGCGCAGCTTGTAGTGCAGGCGGGGGCGGTCGGGGCGGTCGCCGGCGTTGGGCACGTACACATTCACCAGCACAAAGGCGCCGTGGTCGGTGATCAGGACCCTGTTGAGGGGAGGTGATGGGAGTTGGGGGCAAGGGCGGGTGAGGCAGGAGGGATGGGGCTCAGGTAAATGGGGTGGAGGCAGGTAACGGGGGGAGGGGCAGGGAGGTGGGGGCAGCGGGAGAGGGAGACGGGGGGTGGCTGGGAGTGAGCAGGGAGAGCCGGGAAACGGCTGGGAAGGGAATGGACGGGGGATGCGCAGCCGAGCAGCCGAGCTTGCCTGCCCTCCCTGTCGATGTCTTCCTCCCCTGAACCCAGGCAGTCTGCCTGGCAGGACAGCGGGGCGTAGGCATCAGAGGCGTAGGTGGTCACGCCGCTGTACCCCTTCTTCTCCCTGCACCGCTGGGCGGCGGCGGGGCCGGGAGGGATGTCGGGGGCGTGGCTGGCAGATGGGAACAGGGGTGCTGGGGCCGGGCCCGCAGCCGGCTGGCTGCCTGACGGGAGGCCTTCCGCGTGTGCTGGGCATCTGGCTGGCGGGCCTGGTGCCCGGTGCACCCTGGGGAGGCCAGCCTGCGGAGCGGATGCCTGGCTTGGACCCTGGGCAGCACTGCTGTTGGGCCCAGACCCAGCAGCCAGTACTTTAGCTGGAGCTTGGGAAACGACACCCCCGCCCTTGCCTGGAGTGCGCCCAGAAGCTCTGGTAGCCGTCCACGCAGCACAGCTCCTTGGTGAGCTTGTCCTCGGGCACCTTGGACTCCTGCCGGCGGGCATGCGCCCAGGCAGGCAACGCGTTAGCCCACGCACGCAGGCGCGGCAGGGTGCCTGGGCAGGCAGCAGAGAGAGCGAGTTTCGGTGGGTGCTGGCAATGAAGGCCGGGGCCGCACCTGCAGGCACGCAATGTCCAGGCCGTGCTCCTGGAAGAAGCCCAGCCAGCTGCCGTGCTTGAGCACCGCGTTGCGCACGGTGGGCGCCAGGCTGTTGATGTTCCAGCACAGCAGCTTCATCGCTGGCGGCAGCGGGACCCCCCCGGGGCTGGCCTGGTGAGCGGCGGCGGCGGTGGCGGGCGCAGGTCGGAGCCGCCTGCCGATGTGCCTGCGCTCTAATTGCTGCCGCAGAAGCTACAGGAGGTGCAAACAGGTCTGCCCCGGTGCGATCAGTGGAGGTCGCAAACGCCCGATTTTTACGCTGGCATCAATAGCGCTTCCTAGATTTGAATTGAACCCAGCTGCGCGACTTCCATCGTCTGCCGATTTCGGCATGCTGGAGTATTCAGCTGGGCCAGGTGGCGGCGCTGAGGCGCTGCGAGCGCTGTGTTGATTGCTACCCAACCCACCTCCCTGGGGCGTTTGCACGCTTTCAACCAGTCTGATCACCATCTGCACGCTCCCCCACGGGTTTTCAAAGCACACACACGACCGCAGCGACTCTCGGGGGGGTGCCAGGATGGGCTGGGGGCCGCTGGTTGCGGCGATCCTGCTGTGCCTGTCGTCGTCCACCAGAGCGCAAACAGTGGAATGCACAGTCACAGAGGTGGGCCTGCTAGTTCCCAACATCTCACGCGGCATGTCTCAGGGACCAGCCGGAGTTAGGGCTGGCTCACCTGCTACCAGCGACCTGACACGAGGCAGCAGCGCGCCGCAGCGTTGCAGACTTCATTGTGCGGGTGCCGCCCGCCTGCGCCAGCTGGCAGCCACCACACCAGATGGCTGGCCTTGAACGCATCACCTAGCCTCCACTCCCCTGCCCTGCAGCTTGACGGCTCCACCAGCACCTTGCGCCCCGGCCCGTTTGTGCCCCCGGCGGGGGCTGCCTCCGCTGCCGCCCCTGCGCCGCGGGGCGCCTGCCCCAACCCTCTGGCCGTGCCCGCCGCATCCAAGGCGCCCTTCTTCTTGGGCTCAGCCACCGCCGCCTACCAAGTGGAGGTACCGCCTCTGCCGCTGCTGCCGCGCCGCTGCCGCTAATTGCCCTGCTGCCGCCGCCGCTGGCAACCGGTCCGCCGCACCGAGCGCCTTCGCTTCGCTCCTCCACTGGTTGGCAGGGCGCCGCCGCCGAGGGCGGGCGCGGGCCCAGCATATGGGACACCTTCTCACACCTGCCGGGCAAGACGCACGAAGGCGACACAGGCGACCGCGCCGACGACTTCTACCACCGCTGGGCCAACGACATTGCGCTGATGCGCAGCCTGGGCCTGCGCAACTTCCGCCTCAGCCTCTCCTGGACCCGCCTCTTCCCAAACGGCACCGTCGGCGACCTCAACCCGGTGGGTGGCTGGGTGGCTGGCTGGCCGGGTGGCTGGGTGCTGGCAAGCAGGGGCGGGAGCTGCCGGGGAAACTGGCGAACACGCGTTTGGGGAGCAGGGCCCGGAGGCAGCAGCGCGCCGCCGCGGCCGCTCCGCCCTCCCTCCCTGCCCTCGGCCTGGCCGCGGCCGCCCGCCCTCCCACCCGCCTGCCCGCCCACCCTGCTTCGCGCGTGGCGCAGGAGGGCGTGGCGTTTTACGACGGCCTGTTCGACGCGCTGCGGGCGGCGTGCATCGAGCCGTGGGTCACGCTGTACCACTGGGACCTGCCGCAGGCGCTGCAGGACGAGTACGGGGGCTGGGTGGACGAGCGCATCGTGGAGGACTTTGCCGCCTATGCGCAGGTCCGGCGCGTGGGCTGGGCACGCCTGTGTGTGTGTGTGTGTGTGTGTGTGTGCGAGCGTGTGGGTGGGTCGCGGCTGGTGGCTGCGTGTCGGCGTGTGTGTGTGCGTGCGGTTGAGTGTTCGGTAGGCGGTTGTGTTGGTGGCTGCGAGAGTGTCGGTTTCGTTGTGTGGCCCCTCTCTTGCCTCGGCCCGTTGCGGGCGCACTGTGTGCAGCGGTTCTAAGGTCGCCTGCCTCGCCCCGCAGGCCGCATTCGACCTGTTTGGCGACCGTGTGAAGTACTGGTTCACGCTGAATGAGCCGGAAACGTTCTGCCCGCTGGGCTACGAGACAGGTGCGTGAGGGGGCGTGGGGCCTGCCAACAGCGCCTCGGCGCCGGCCTCCGTGCGGGATACTGTACTCTTGTGCCCGGTGGAGCCGCCCGCAGCAAGCCCGTGCCCGGCCGCCGTTTTGCCACTGCCTGCAGGCACCTTTGCCCCCGGGCGCTGCTCCGACCGCACCCGGTGCCTGGAGGGCAACAGCAGCACCGAGCCGCACCTGTGTGCCTACCATGCCGTGCTGGCGCATGCGGCGGCCGTCAGCGCCTTCAGGCAAGGTTTTTGCCGCAGCTGCGGGCAGGCGTGCTCGCTTGAGGCGTGTTCGCTTGAGTGTGCAGGGTGCGCCCCGCCCATGCATCGCTCCGCTCCCAGCGCCTGCCCGCTTCCCTGCAGGGAGTCTGTGCCTGGAGGCCAGATCGGGATGACCAACGCGATTGGCTGGGCAGCACCCTACACGGGCAGCGCCGAGGACGTGGCGGCGGCGGAGCGGCAGCAGGTCTGCAGATGGCCGTAGACCCTGGCGTGCCCGCTCATCTTCCGCAGCTCTGTCCTGCCCACGCCCCGCCTCCACCCACCCATTCACGCACACCTTGCCACTACGCCCCTCCCCTCTCCTGCACCGCGCAGTCCTTCACCGGAGCCTGGTTCCTGGACCCCCTGTACCGCGGCGACTGGCCCGCCGAGCGCAAGGCCGTGTACGGGGACCTGCTGCCCTCCTTCACTCCCGAGCAGCGCCGGTTCATCCTGGACAACCCGCAAGACTTCATCGCCCTGCAGCACTACACCGGCAACTATGTGTACCAGAACGCCACCAACCCGCCCCTGCTCCTCAGTGAGTGGCGCGCGGCTCTCTGCTGGATAGCTCTCTGCTGGATCGCTCTCTGCTGGGGAGCGCAAGCGCTGGCGTGCACCTTGCCTTGGCATGCGCCTTGCCAAGGAGGGATGCGCTGCTGTGCTGCCGCGCAGGCAGCACCACCAAGAGCTCAGACGGCTACCAGCTGCCGCAGGCAGACAGTCCCTGGCTGTTTGTCTTCCCAAAGGTGGGCCATGCTTGCCTTGTGCGGGTGGTGCCTAGCGCTGGATCCTGGCACCTTGACAGCGCTTTGGGTTCGCTGTGATCGGCACCACGGCTCCCCTGACCCTCTCCCACTGTGTGCAGGCGCTGAGGTCGCTGCTGGGGTGGCTCCACCGCCGCTACGGGGCTCCCATCATCATTACTGAGAACGGAGTCAGCGCCCCAGGTCTGCCGCCAGGGTGCAGCAGCCCACGTGCTTCCATTCCCGCTCCCGCTCCCGCTCGCGCGCTGCGCCACGCCCCCTGCCATGCGTTCCCGCCGCCGCCGCCGCTGCCGACTCCCCGACGCCGCTGCCGGCGCCCGCGCTGCCGTGCCGCAGGGGAGGCCAGCAAGCCGGTGCTGGAGGTGCTGTGCGACCAGTTCCGGCTCAGCTACTTCCAGCAGTACATCTCCAACGCCACGGCCGCCAAGCGTGACGACGGCGTGGACCTGCGGGGATACTTTGCTTGGTCCCTGCTGGATAACTTCGAGTGGTGAGGCGGCAGCTGCCTGGCGCAGGAGTGGGGTCCAGGTTCAGGTTGTTTTGCCCGCTGCCCAGCAGGCAATCGTGAGGGACGCAGCATGCTGTAGCTAGCTGCTGCTGAGCTGGCTGGCCGCCCTGCCGCTGCGCGTCCCTGCAGGGCCGACGGCTACAGCAAGCGCTTCGGCATCACCTATGTCGACTTTGACAGCCTGGCGCGATACTACAAGGCTTCCGCCATGTGGCTGTCCTCCTGGTTCGGCATGGGTGCCGTCACGTCCGCGGCCGGCGCCTGACGGTCCGCGCCTGCTGCCGCGGCCGCGGTGGCGCAGGCGGCAGCTGCGGTGGCAGGCGGCGACCGGTGGGAGCTGTGACCCGCCGCGTATTTCGTACATTCTCTTTGACCTTTTGCATTGATGACACGCTTGATTTATCAGCAGAACAGAGAGCTCGAAGCCGTGAGTAATGAAACATTCAATATTCAAATACGATTCCAGAATATGGCAACGAGGGCACAGCTGTCCCAGCTGTTCCCTTTGAAGTGCGGTACAAAATTGCATGGCTGCCAGATCACAAGCTGGCAGCTCCAGGACTGGCGCTGCCGCCGCTGCTGCTGCTGCTGCTGCCGCTGCTAAAGGGAGCTGCGTGTGCGGCAAAGGGCGACGGCGCTTGCTCAGCCGGCGGCTCCGGCGTGGCCAGCTGGCAGCTGCCGCCGCCACAGCTGCCCTGGCTGCTGCCCGGCCCCCCCGAGCCCCCGGCAGCCGCCGAGGAGGCATCCGTCTCCGATACGGTGGAGCGGCACTCCACACGATGCTGCTGCGCCGCCACGTCAGCCGCCACCCTGGCCTGCTCCTCCTGCAGCCGCTGCCGGATGGCTGGGAAGGCGGGCCGCCGCGCCGGCTCCTCAGCCCAGCACTCCTCGATCAGCCCCCGCAGGAAGGCGGGGCAGCTGGCCGGCAGCGGCAGGCGCTGCGGCAGCAGCGGAGGGGGCACCACGGAGAGCAGCAGGTGAGGCCAGGCACGGATGGGAGCCAAGCGATGGCTGTGCCTGGCTGGGCAGTGGCTGGCAGACCAGCAGATGAGCTTCAATCGTGGGACCGGCCCCATCCCCCTCACCCGCCACCACCACAACCTGCCCCCTTTTTCCTCACCTGGCGCAGCACGCCCACTTGGTATATGATCTGCATGTGCCCCTGCAGGTCCCGCCACGGCACCTCCCCGGTCAGCATCTCCCAGCACATCACCCCAAAGGAGAATACGTCCACCTGCGGCAGCGGGGCAGGTGGGCGCGAGATGCAGGCACAGAGCTTGAGGGCCATGCCGATACCCAAGGCCAGGCGGCAGCAGCCGGCTGTGGGCCTCCAGCCTCCAGACTGGATGGCAGCCTGCCCCCCCCAGGAGCCGCGACGTGCGCGCCCGCTGCCGCCCGCCCGCGGGCCCGCCGTGCCGGCCCACCTTCTCGCTGACGGCGGTGCCGTCAAACAGCTCCGGAGCCATGTAGGCCGGTGTGCCCGCCTGCGCTCCAACCGTGGACACAAAAGTGCGATCCTTGAACTTGGCGATGCCTGCGGGGGGCGGGAGGCGCGGGCAAGAGTTAGGGGCAGGGGCAGAGGGTGGAGGCGCAAGGGGCAGGACAGGTTACAGGCCGGGTGGGTGCGTGTGCGGCAAGGCGCTGTGTGTGGTTGGGGGCCTCGAGCGCAGGTGAAGAGCAGGCCGGCGCTTGCTGCCTCGCCCGCTGTTTTCACAGGGCACAACGGCAGGCGAGGCCGGCAGCAGGAGCTGGGACAGCGCGGCAGGCGGCGCTCACCAAAGTCGCAGACCATGGCGCGGCCCTGGGCATCGAGCAGCACGTTCTGCGGCGGCGCGCGGCGGGCAGGCAGGGACCGACTGTCTGAGCACGTGTGCAAGCGCCAGACCAGAGAGCCCGCGCTCCTGCAGCCCAGCCCACACCGCCCTTTGCCTGCCCCGCATGCGCAGCCATGCCGCCAAGCTGCGCCGCCATGGGGACCCCCTGGGCCCCCTGCTTTCTACCTGAGACTTGAGATCTGAAGCAGGTGGATAGGCCAGGGGCAGGCAGGTAAGGGGCAGGCAGGTAAGAGGGGTGCAACCAGCAGGGGTGAGCGCCGCTTGCACCGTATGCGTCTCCCGGCCCGTCCCGCGCCCGGTCTGCAGCTGAACGCAAACCTCGGTGCACGATGCCGGGGTGCAGGTAGCACATGGCGGCCGCCACGTCGGCCGCCACGCCCAGGAGCTGGGCATAGCGCAGCGGCGCGCGGCGCCGCGCCCCCGCGGCCCCGTGCAGCAGCTGGTGCAGGGAGCCGCCCTCCGCCAGCTCCTCTATGATGCATATGTTGGGCGGCACTGCGGGCGGGGCGGGGCAGCGGAGGGAGGCGGGTAGGCACGCAGCGCAGGCGTGGGCTGAGCGCGGCGTGGCGCGCGGGAGGGGTGCTGCACCGGCGGCTGCCGCTGCACAAGCCATGCCAGCCACCGAGCCGCCCCCCACCCTCTCCTCAAGAGGGCCGCACCTGTGCAGGCGGCCAGCAGCGCCACGATGTTTGGGTGCCGCAGCCCAGCCAGCACCTTGGCTTCCTGCTTGAAGCTCTCCAGCTCCCTGCTGCGCGGCGCCGCCGCCGTCTGCAGCACCTTGACCGCCACGGGCTGCCCTCTCCAGCTGCCTGCACCGGCAGGGAGGAGCATTCCAGGCAGGCGGGGTGAAAAGGGTCCTGGCCCACGAAGAGTCGCGTGCTTTAGGTGCACATGGCAGGCCTCGACATCGCCGCCGGCGCGCGCACCTCGGTACACCGTGCCAAAGGCGCCGCTGCCCAGCTGCTCTGCGAGGGTGACGTCGTGTGTGAGGTCCACGCTGCCGCTGCCGCAGCTGGCAGGCGCGCTGCCGCCGGAGCCGGCGCTGTCGCTGCTGCTCCGGCCCGACGGCGGCACCGCCTGTGCGGCTGCGCCCGGCGCGCTGGCGGCAGTGATGAGCTCCGCGCCTTCGGCAACGGCTGCGGCAGCGGCAGCGGCAGCAGCAGGCAGGTCGCCGCTGCCCGCTGACCGCGCCGCTGCCGCCACCGCTTGCTGGCGCAGCATGGGCGAGGGGACAAGGATGGAGCTAAGTGTCGGGCTGCCCTGCAGGAATGCGGTTGGTACCCGCAGACCAGCGGCCACCTCGCTGCCGCTAACTGGGGTGGGCGCAGGTTTGCTGGCTTCCGATGCCTCGCCAGGATGGGGCTCCGGCCTGCTGCGTCGCCGCCGTCGCCGCACCAGCAGCAGAATGGCGGCCGCCGCCAGCAGCAGCACGGCGGCCCCCGCACCCCCTGCTGCCGCTGGCACAACTTTGCTGCCTTTGCCACGGCCGCTGCTCGCGCTCTCGCTGCTGTCGCTGCCGCTGCTGGTGCTGCCGCCAGGCTGAGCAGGCAATTGTGGCGGGCTGAGGGCAGGCCCCGGCGGCCGCTCCGGCTGCGGGAGCGGCTGCTGTGGCGGCGACGCCTGCAGCGAGACCGGCGGAAGCACCACCTCTGGCACCGGTGGTGGCGGCGGGGGCGAGGGCGGCGGGGCCGGCGGCACGCTGTCAACCAGCACCACGCCGCAACAGAACTGGGCCCAGCAGCCTCCCCCTGTCCCCAAGCCGCCGCCTCCATCGCTTGGTTCCACCAGCACGACTGCGGGGCCGCCAGCAGGGCTCTGCCCGTCTGGCAGCAGCACGGGGCCGGTGGCGCTGCCGACGTCGGGGCTGCCAGCCGTGCACTGGCCGTACCGCATGGTACCGCCGCCGGCCAGGCTGCACTGGTAGCCGTTGATGTTGACCGCGGCTATGCCCAGCTGCTGGTCGCTGCCGGGCGGCAGCGGCAGGCCGGTGAAGGCGGCTTCTGCCAGGAAGGAGTAGGTGCCGCCGCCTGCAGCGCGCAGCAGGTGGTAGCATGTGGGTGCGAAGCGCTGCCTAGCCGCCGGCCCTGCCGCTTGCAGCGCCGGCACCCCACAGCCCACGCCGCCCACCTCCAGGGATGCCGTCGTTTTGGAACGTGTCCACCAGGCGGACGGGGGCGCCGCTGGGGGAGCCGGGAGACAGCTGGATGGCGCCGTCGGCGCGGCTCAGCACCACGTGGCGGAAGTCGGCAAAGCGCCACACCACCTGCCAGTGCAGAAGGTCCAGCTCCCGGTTGTTGGTGATGGTGGCCACGCTGGAGAAGTTGGCTGCCGTGAGGTCCACCACGCGGTACGACAGCTGCAGCTCGCACACGGGCAGCTGAGGCACGGCTGCGCCGCCGCCGCCGCCGCCGGCCAGCTGCTGCAGCAGCGCCCTGCGCCGCATGCTCTCAACCTGCTGCTGCGTCCAGCTGATGGGGCGGTAGGCATCCCGGGGCAGCAGCTCCGGCTCACCCGGCGGGGTGAGAGCCAGGTCGGCCCAGCCCGCCGCCGTCGGTGGCACCAGCAGGAGCGCCAGCAGGAGCAGCCCGGCTGCCAGCGGCGAGTCCGCGCCGAGCTTATTGCTCCTCCTCATGGCTGGCGGCTGCTCATGGCCAGAGCGGAATGAGGACGCGAGCGGGCACCATTCACCGGGAATCGAACCCGCCGCACAAAGAGAAGGGGAACCCGCCCTGGGGTCTTTGAACAGTTGCTCGCACGAAGCAGGGATTGCTCTGAGCGGCAGGGAGCCCCACGGGGAGCTGGCCATCTGAGGTCTGGTGCCTAGTTGGCGGCAGCAGGCGCACTTGGCGGCAGCTAAAGGCAGGCACTTGGAGGATTGATTACAGAAATCCATTGCTGGTCAAGTAGTTGGCTGATGGGAAGGGTGTGAATGGTGGATACAGCAAATGCAACCTGGTGGGCAGGAGAGGGGTGGGGTCGCGGCGCGCTTGCTGGCGTCCAAAATGGCAAGTGTTGGAAACTAGGCGGCGCCCTGCACATGCAAGCAGGCGCCAGGCTGCAGCGGGCGCCGTCACTCAGCGGCAGCCTCCTCTGCCGCCTCAGCCTCCACCGCCGCCTTGGGGGCCGCCGCCGCCGCGGGCGCATCGCCCTTCTTGGGTGCCGTCTTCCAGTAGTCATCCATGTCGTCATTCAGTTTCTGTGCCAGATGGGAGGCGGAACACGGGAACAGCTGTTAGCAGCAGCTTGTGCACCATAGTAGCATGGTGGGGTGACGCTGACGGAGCGTGGCACAAGGAAACAACAGCGGGTAGCCTGCGTGCTGCACACCCACCTTGGAAGCCATCTTGTCATCCTGGAGCCTACAGCAGCCGTGCAGCAAGTAAAGCGATATCAACTAGGTGATAGGAGCACGGGACAGGCACAACCGGCCACGGGAGAGGCGCGCAAGCGCGGCTTGGCGCCACCCGGCGCGCGACGTGCGCTGCCAGCGGCCTGCCTCCAGCACCCACCAGTACTCGTCCATCTCGCGCTCCAGGTCCTCGGCCGTCTTGGGCTTCTCGGTGCGGCCGCGGCCACGCCCGCCGCGGCCAGCAGGGCCACGCCCGCGCCCACCCCGGCCACGACCGCCGCCGTCACCGCCGCCGCTCTTCTGCACGCCGCCGCCGCGGGGCCCGCCGCTGCCGCGGCCGCCGCCCTGCCTGTCGCCGCCTCCCCTGCTGGCCAACAAAGAGAGGAGGGTGGTAGTCTCTCACTCAAAACTGCACACAAGAGTCGTCGACGGCAGACGGCGTGGCGCCCGCCCGCCGACGTTGCCGGTGATGCAGCCTCCACGGACGCCCTCGCCGGCTCCGCCTCCCGCCTCGACGCCAATCCAGCGCCCGCATCCTCACGGCCCGCACTGGAGGCCCGCACTGGAGCCGCCCACAGCCAACCCTGGGCTGAGCGCATCTGGCCCGATCGCGGCCACCAAACGCTCCAGAGCCTCACACTGGCCGCCAACGGCCACCAAACTGCTGCTGTCGCCTCAGATGCGGCGCCCCACGCGTTCAGCCCGGCACCCAGCTCCCAGGCGTCCCCCGCGGGGCCTCCCGGCGCTGCTTGGCTGTGTACCTGCTGCCGCCACGCCCGCCTGACCGTCCACCTCGTCCACGACCGCTCATCCTAAGCTCTGGCGGATTCGAGCAAGCGTATGCTGCTGGGGACCGTGTCTTCCTGCTTGGTAAGCGTGTGTGAGGCAAATGACGAGCAGAGAACGGGATGTATGCTGCCCTGCCTCCCCGAGAGCTCTTGAGAGCGGCGGGAGCGCGTCGTGCCCAGCGCCGCCGCTGACTGCATGGATTTGTGTTTCTGTGCTTTTGTGGCTTTTGTCAGAACTGTGTGCCGTAAATCGGGGCGATCGCAGCACGCCAGCAGGGGGCCAGAACGGGTGGCCAGAACAGGCGGTCAAGACGCGGCCAATACAGCGACAGCTGGTGACGCCTCCCTCGGCGCAATTTCGCCAATTTTCCTCCCATTTTCGACATTCTTTTTCCTGCACTCC